ATAGCAAATAGATTGGTAGTTATCTAGGATGGGAACAATTTGGTGGTAATGGGAGTGCCCTAATAATTGGTATTGAGTTTATTTTAGGAGTGAGGTTATGATGGTTGCAAATATTGCCAATATAGTACAGACTGTTCAGTTTTATTCTTTAAAAAGTGGGATTGGAGCTAGGCATGGGTCAAATACAGACCTGTACTCCCAGAGTTTAATCCTTGCCAATTCAATTTAGTGAGACCCTGTCTCAGAGTAAAAACTAAAAAAGAACAGGATGTAGCTCAGTGTAGAGGGTTTATATTCACTTCCCAGCACCCCCCAAGTTGGATTTGATGGTATACGTTGTATGTAAAAGCATAACTATATTTACTTGATGGAACTAAGGTGAAAATACATCTTATTTTAATAAGGAAAAGCACTTGGCAACATTAAATATCTATTCATGAATGTTTTAAAAGCACTCAATTTTTAAACCAATAACACCTGGAAGTTGGGAATGCAAGAAAATTTTCTTAATTAGATAAAGCATATCTACTAGACTCTGTTATGGTTCTTTGTTTGTGTTTTGGTACTGGGGATTGAACTCAGGACCTTGCACTTGCCAGGCAGGCACAGTGCCACTGAGCTATATCCCTGGCCCCTAAACTCTATTATTTATTACAGTTAAAGGAGTTAGGTTTTTCTTCCAGAACAAGATAAGAGTTCTTGGTCTCAGCAGGGTATGATGGTGTACACCTATAATTCTAGCACTCTAGCTGGGCATCGTGGCACATGCTTGTAATCCCAGCACTTAGGAGGCTGAGACAGAGGATTGCTGTGAGTTCTAGGTTAGCCTAGACTATGTAGTTCCAAGCCCAGCTGGAACTACACAGCAAGACCCAGTCTTGAAAAAAAAAAGTTATTCTAGCACTCTGGGAGGCTGAGGCAGAAGGATTGAAAGTTCAAATTCAGTCCCGGTTTAGTGAGACCCCATCTTAAAATACAAAATAAAAGTTGGCAGGGGATTTGGCTCAGTGAGCACCATGCCTACCTTGCAAATGCAAGGTCCCGAGTTCATTCCCTGGTACCAAAAAAAACAAAAAACAAAAAAAAACGTGCTGGGGTTGTAGTTCTTTGTGAAGGCCCTAGGTTTAATCTCCAATTCAGGGGGGAAAAGAAGTGCTTTTTTTTACTGCTTTTGTTTACCATTATATTGAAGCTCTGTCTTGTTTACTTCCTTATTTCTGAGACAAAATACCCAATACCCACAAATAAAGGAAGAAAAGTTTATTTTAGCTCACAGTTTGTAGAGATTTCAGTGCATTGTAGGCAGCCTCCAAGGCAGTGTGGCATGGCATAGGAGAAATAGTCCATGACATGGTGGGCAGAATGCAGCAACCCTGCTTGTCTTCTTTTTATTTATTTTGTGTGTTTGTTTGTTTGATTGTTTTTTGAGACAGGTTCTCTTTGTGTGGTTCAGGCTGGCTTTGAACTCAGTGTGGAGCACACCTTGAACTACCACTTCACCCAGCCCTTCTGCTTTTTATATTGCAATAGGCTATAAGCCTATTGGTTGGTGCCACCCACTCCCAGGATGGCGTTTCTCTTCTCAGTAATCCTATCACCCGCAACTAAACCAGTCACGGGTCGAATCCAGTTATCACATGCCCATGTTCCAGGCACCTCTCAAGCCCCACCTATACTTGCAGGAGGCTTTGGGGAGACATGTAGCTACAAGCCATAACAGGGTCTAACTGCAAAAATGGAGATGGGGGGCTGGGGATTTAGCTTAGGGGCACCATGCCTCCCTTACAAGCACAAGGTGTTGAGTTTGATCTCCAATACCAAAAACAAAAAACAAAACGAAACAAAAATACAACAAAAAAACAGGGATTGAGGGAGAGGTCATAGGCCTAAAATGGGAGAAAAAGCCCTGTCATTTCTCATGACACTGTTAAAGAATCTGTAGACCAGTCATTAGAATTAATGAGGGAGGTAAACAGTGTGTGAGGTACAAAGTACCACAATAGATGTATTTCTGTAAATCATAACAAACAGAAAATGAGAAAAAAAAATTGAGAGTAACGTCATAACAAGTGAACATGAATGAACCTGAACATATGTGGGATCAAGAGACTTCTGCCTAGAAAAAATTTAAGATAGTATTGGTGAAATTAGACACAATAAATGAAGGGACTTTAGTCTTAATTTTGGGGAGCTTTGCAGGGCCTTGCACATGCACATGCTAGTGAAGCACTCTACCACTGAGATAATCTCCAACCTTCATTTTTTTTTTTTTTTTTTTTTTATTTTGAGACAGAGTCTGGCCATGTTGCCCAAGTGGGACTTGTGCTTGTGATCCTCCTACCTCAGCCTCCAAAGTGCTGGGAGTACAGGTGTGTGTACTGCCATTGACTTTTCATTTTTATTTTTGAGAAAAGGTCAAAGTTGCTCAAGCAGACCTTGAAATTTGGATCCTCTTGCCTCAGCATATGAAGTGTCTGGGATTACAGGCATGTTACGTCTCATTATTGTAAACTTTAGTGGTTTTTGGTGCTGGGGATTGGACCCAGCACCTTATGCATAATGTGCAAGGGTCCTACCACTGAGCTGTTTCCTCAGCTCCTATAAACTTTAGTTTAAATTGAGTCTATCTTTGAATTTAATAATCACTAATAATCTATCATGTGAAAATTTTCTCCATTGATGTGTTTTTAAAAATCTGTTGACATTTACTTATATATGATGGAATTTACCCTTTCTTAGGAGCACAGGTGTATGAATTAAATGTATATAGTGTTGTAACCACCAGCTAGGGATGATGCTCCACACCTGTAATCCCAGAGAATAAAACAGCTACCTGTGATAGGTGGCCACCAAACAAGTAATTCCTGTGCTCGGTTTATCTGTAATTAGTTATGCATCAGTGGACCATGTGGCTACTCCATTCTGGACCCCTCCTGAAAATCCAGGAGCTGTTCTCCTTTTTTCCAATAAAAAGTCTTCTAAGGAAGAGAAAGAGAGAGGAGAGAAATGAAGGGCAAGCTATTGTCAGTGAGAGATATTTACAAAGTCCATGCCTGATAATGAATTTAGAAATAAATAATTCAATTTATTAAAAAGACCCCCCCCAAAAAAAGAAGAGTTAAAAATGTACAAAAAGAGGGGAAGTTTAGGAAATTGATAGTGGTAATGGTTTCCAACATTGTGAATGTAGTTAGCGCCACTGAATTCTAGCCTTAAATTTAAAATGGAAAATTTTATGCAATGTATATTTTACCACAATAAAAAATGATGTAGAGCAGTGTATACATATCATATATATATAATAGCAAAAGATTTGACCTTGTGTTTCTCAAAGGCAGATACATGGATGGTAAGTAAGCCCACAAAAATATATTCATCCTTAGTTATCAGAAAGACACAAAGAGTAAGTTACTATCATTCTTCTGTTAAAATAGATTTAAAAGAAATTAAAAAAAAAAAAAAAAAAGAGGCCGGGAATTTAGCTCAGTGGTTCGGTGGCCTGCCTTGCAAGCGCAAGGACCCAAGTTCAGTCCCTGGTACCAAAAAAAAGAAATGCCAAGTTGCTAGTGAGGACAGTGAAATACCTGGAACTCAAATATATATATATATATATATATATATATATACACACACACACACACACACACACACACACACACACACACACACACATACATATATGTCTGAGGTAGAATGCACCTTCACCATGCATCCTTATAGTCCCACTGCTAAGTTTTAACAAAGGTGGAATGAAAACACATATGTAATATTTATAGTGGCTTTAACCTCCACTAATTTGAATTCCAACACTGCAGGGACTGAGGCAGGAGGATCACTGCGAGTTTAAGTCCAGGCTGGGCTACATAGTGAGTTCAAGGCCACTTTGAACTACATAGTGAGACTCTTAAAAATAAAAAAAGAAGACTCAGGTATTGGAACAGAATGTTTAGTTACTTGGTAGCTTAGCTATGCCCATTCATTCTTTTCCCCCTTTCTCTTCCATTTGCTCCTTTTCCTTTCTCTTGATCTCGCTAGAGTAGATTTCTTGTTGAAAAACATGTAGTTAAGCAGTATGAGTTTGTTGTAAACACAGTTGAAGGGTTTCATCAGTGGGTGGAGTACTGGCCATTTCTCCAGAGGTCTCAAAGTTTTAATACTGTCTTGTTGATGAGACAGAGTTCTAAGATTGGCCCTTAACCCTATAGGCTCAGAAATTGGACTTTTTGGCAGTATAATAGGAATCTGTTCTTGGCTATGAGGAAAATTCATGTTACCCAAGCTAGAAAAACTGGTATGTGGCCTAATTTATAAATAAATGCTGATATCTAAACTTGCTAAAAAATAACACGTCAAAAAAACCTGAAAAGCTCAAATAGGAAGGAAGCCTGGTTCGTGTAGTCACTGAAAACAGTGATATTTGATGTAATTTGAATGTTCAGGAGACATCAGCACAAATCTTCACACACAATAAATGAAGGGACTTTAGTTTTAATTTTGGGGAGCATCACAGGTTGAGTCACAGTATCATATCACAGTATGGGCTGCAATACATTTCCCTCTCCTTGGATGGTACAGCAGCACATACAGTACAATAGTGCCCCCACCTTGTCCCTGAGGGATATGCTCCAAAACCTCCAGTGAAGGCCTGTCCGGGGATAGTACCAAATCTCTCCGTGTGTGTGTGTGTGTGTGTGTGTGTGTGGTTTTTATACATACATATATGATGAAATTTAATTTATAAATTAGATACAGTAAAAGAATAATGATAGTTAATAATGGAAGTTAATATTTTATTAAAATAGTTACATGAATGTGGTTGTTCTTTCTGTTTGTCTGTCTTGAATTTTCCACTTACTATTTTTAGACCATAGAAATTGCAACTACAGATGTGGGTCTACTGTACTTAGTTTTGACACTTTTTCATGTGCTGATCATTTGCTTTTGTGATTACTTTCATTGTTTTGATATGTTAAAATTTTCCATTTTATATTGATTCACAGAACTGGCAACTCATACTCACAACATAACCCAAGATCTGCCAAATAAAAGTTCATATGGACTCAAAGGTATGAAATACATTTTTTTAAATTTACTTATTTAAGAATCTTGTAGCCAGATGTGGTGGCACATGCCTCTAATGCCAGCACTCCAGAGGCTGAGACAGGAGGATTGTATTGCTGCAAATTAGAGGCCAGCCTAGCCTACATAGTTAGACTTTGGCTCAAACAACCAAAAACAAAGAATTTTATGGGCATGGAGCTGTAACATAGTAGATAATTTTTCTACTTTGTATGAGGCCCTGTTTTGATCCCCAGCACCGCAAAAAAGACACAACACCAAAAATTTAAAAAGAATCTTGTAAAACGTTCTTTATTTTTCCCTTCCTCCATTCTTCTGTCCCTCTCTGCCTTCCTCTCTCTTCTCTCTTGTTCTTCCTCTCTCCCTGATGCTGGGGATTTGCCCTAGGGATGCTTTTTTTTGGGTAGGGGGTACCGGGGATCGAACTCAGGTCCTTGCACTTGCAAGGCAGGCCACTGAACCGCTGAGCTAAATCCCCGGCCCTGAGATGCTTTTTATTTATTTTGAGATAGTGTCACTCAGTTGCCCAGGCCCCTGGCATGGGGTGGTACACATGCTGTAATGCCAGCACTCTGGGAGCTTGAAACAGAAGGATCAGTTGGAGGCGAGCCTGGGCAATTTAGCTACTTGTGAGAACTTGTCTCAAAATAAAAAAGGGCTGGGGTTATAGGTCAGTACAAAGGCCATGGGTTCAATCCTTTGTACCACAAAAAAAGATTAGAGATTCTATATTTGTATTTAAAGTCATATTGTAAAAGAATGTGAGTGAAGTATAGATGGGTGATCTGCCTCAGATTCATTTAGCTTCTTGGGACACTGTGTGTGCTAAGAGGCTTGTGTAGAACCAAGAGAACAGAGCTTCCACTACTGATTTCCTACTGAGGATAGTTGCATTTTGTATTTTTCATTTAAATTATAACTTTTTAAATATACTTTAAGAGACCCTCACCAGGTGTGGTGGCTCATTCCTATAATCCCAGAATTGGGGTGGCTGAGGCAGGAGAATCACCCCAAGTTTAAGGTCAGCCTGAACTACATAGCAAGACCCTGTCTCAAAAAAACAAAAAGAAAGAGAGGTTCCCCTGTCTCAAAATACTAAAAACTATGGAGGGTGTAGGAGGTGCAAAAATGAAAAACAAGAAAATATTAATTTTTGGTGTTTTGTTTGTTTTTTGTTTGTTTGTTTGTTTGAGACAGGGTCTCTCTATATAGTTAAGACTGACCTGAAACTCACTATGTAGCCCAGGCTGGTGGTCTTGAACTCACAGTGATCCTCCTGCCTCAGCCACCGGAGTGCTGGGATTATGGGCATGCACCACCATGCCTGGCTATTTTTGGTGTTTTGAGACAGGGTCTTGCTATGTAATTCAGTCTGACCTCCAAGTTGCTGGTGGTTTTTCTCCTCCAGCCTTCCAGGAGCTGGGATTATAGGTGTGTACCACCATGCCTGACAAAGAAAGAAACTTTTTGGGGGGGTGTGGTATGGGGGATTGAACTCGGGATCTTGTGCTTTCGAGGCAGGCGGTGGCACCACTGAGCTAAATCACCAGCCCTAAAAAGAAACTAAAGGGATGTGGGAATACATAAATTCATATTTGTTTTTGTCACTTCTGGGGAAAGCATGGAAACCATTTTAAGGTCTGCGAAGTGAGCCAACAGAATGATCAGGTTGTTAATTTAAATATTTGTCAGTAATAAACTCTGTTAATAATTTAAGGATGTAAGCTGTCAAGAGGCACAGAAGAATCGAGGAAAGATTATGGGACCCATGGTTTTCCTTCCTGCAGCACTATGGTTCATAGCAATACATGAGGTTTCTTTTCTCCCTCCCATCTCTTTTGTGATAATGGAGGTTGAACCCAGGGCCTTCATAGTAAGCTACAGTCCCAGCCCCTCCTTATTTTCATTTTTATCTTATTTATTTAATTTCATAGTTCAGGCTGGCCTTGAACTCAGTGTTCTTCCTACCTGAGCCTCCCAAATGCTGGGATTATAGGTGCGCACTACTACACCCCACCTTTGAAAATTTATTTACTTTGATGCAGTCTTCCTCAATTGTCCAGGTTGAGTTCTAACTTTTGATCCTTCTGCTTCAGACTCCCAGGGTACTAGGATTACAGGTGTGTGCCAGCACACCCATCCAGCAGGTGAAGTTTCTAAGTGACATACCAGAAATGTCTGGTTTTGAATAATTTCCATTTTATATTCATAGAGTAGCACAGTTTTTGTAACATTTTATAAGGAACCAGGTACCACAAAAGCATGAATTCTGTCAATGTTTGCTGTAACCAGTCCTCAATCTGGTCTTTCTCTTTTTTTTTGTTTGGTTTTGTTTTTTGACAGGGTCTCACTATGTAGTAGAGACTGACCTGGAACTCACTAGGTAGCCCTGGCTGGTCTCGAACTCACAGCAATACCCCTGCCTCAGCCTCCCGTGTGCTGGGATTACATGCATGAGCCACCATGCCTGGCTTCAATCTGGTCTCTTAACGGCATTCCACAGATACAGGCTCTTTTCCTAGGAATTGGCAGTGATTTAATTCCTAAGGAGACTGGCTATTAGGTTATTTGCATGATTCTGTGCAACTTAGACCTGGTCATCTGCTTTCATTTTTTTAATCCCTTCAGGGTTATTTCCCTCCTTCCTGCCCCTTCCCCACAAAAGGTTTTGATGCAAAATGAGATTTTGCATGTCAGATGCTTAACTCCTTTCTTCCCATAAGGAAACTGAAAACTTGCATAATTCCACTCTCTGGGATGGTTATAGTTAATATCTTGGTCATCCTTTAAAAGCATTACCTCTGAGTATGTGTTTCCAGGTGTGCTTTAATGTAAAGGGCCTGTGGTTCTACATGATCTGTAAGAACTTTTAGCATTATTTGAATACCAACATTTTTCTTCAACAGTTAAGTGTTGCATGGATGATGTACAAATTGAATTATATTGAATACACAACTCTCCTCCAGAAGTACAGGAGGAGACTTGATGTGAGGATGTGGAATAATGTTAATTGTGTTGGAGACCTATGAGGAAACCACTTAGTGGAGTAAATATAAGAAGATTGTTTCTCTAAATCAGATAATTCACTCACTAATCCACAATTCACTAAATTGTGATAATTCACAATTCACTAAAAAGGTCTAGGTCATATTTCTTTTAAAATTAATATATAACATGAAGAATTAGCACATTGTTAACTGTTTATTAGTAATGTGTCTATTTTCTTACTCGTGGCAGAATTGCTTGGATATTAACTTAGAGGTAAAATCAGTTTGAAGCATTGATGTGCTTTTAGGTAAATAATATAAAGTTGCATCTAAAAAGAATTTATGTATTTTTGTTATTGTATATTAAATAATATGGAATCTTTTGGAATAAGATGATATTTGACTTTCTTCTATGAACTTGGATCATGGTTTTCCCAACAGGTGCCTGGAAAAATTCTGTGGAGGAGTGGACAACGGAAGACTGGACTGAAGATGTAAGTGTGTGGTGTCAGATCAGATCCATTAGTGATTGTTGGGGCCACCTGTGCTTGGGAGAAGGCCTGAGACACTTTCTCGTATCTGTCCTATCCAGATTCTATCGTGTTTACCTTAAACTTCTTATGTAAAGCTTTAAACTCACTCTTTTATTCCTTTTCATTTTATTTTGCCTTTTTATTAAATTTGGAAGTTCCTTTAAGGCAAAAATAGATTCCTTGGGACTCTTAATTGTTTCCTTGGAACAGGATGTAATATAAGACCATGTTGAATCAGTAATTAATTTAGTATTTTTGTTGTCTGCTGGCTCTGCCTGTGTATTAATGTCTCAGGAAGTCTGAGTTTATACTGTGTTTCAGAATTCTGAGATATTTAGGGTTAATAAAAATTAAGGAACCTTTGAATACTATTTTTACTAGTTTTCCATGTTACTTCATTAGAACATTTTCTAGCTTTTCCAAGCCCACTCTCACATTGCAAATATAAGAAGTGTATTTTTCATTAATGTCAAATGGATTTCAAAACATTTATTCTGAGTGCCCTAAAATTGAGTTAAAAATATGTACAAATCTTGGGCCAGGGATTTAGCCCAGTGGTGTGCCTGCCTGGCAAGCACAGGATCCTGAGTTTGATTCCTAGTACCAAAAACCAAAACCAAAAGAAACCAAACAAAAAAATATGTACAATCCTCAAAGTAATTATGGTAAGTGAAAGAAGCCAAGTAAAGGGATGTATACTAAAAAAAATTTTCATCTAAGAAAAGAGAATGTAAAGGAAAAAATGGAAATAAAGCTTTTGTAAATAAAGGAGAGGAAGAGGGATTGAAGGGAGGGGAGGGAATTGGGGGAAAAAGAAAAATCAAGATATATCATGTACAGATACACATTCCCTATGGTGAATATATCATTAGATATATCTAAAATGTACCAATAAAATTAATTTAAAAATAATCATATAGCTATAAACATTTGGGTTGAAGTTTTTTTGTGGACTTGTTTTTTCCATTTATTTTGGATATATACCTTTAAGTGAAATTGCTAGGTCATATTGTGACTCTTATCTTTTTGAGTAACTGCCAGATTTTTTCATTTACATTGTCACCAGCATTGTGCAAGGGCTCCATTTCCTTCACATCTTTATAGCACTTGTTATAATGTTTTTTTTCTGTTGTTTTTTAATCTAGCCATAATGAGTGTGAAATAGCACCTGGTTGTGATACTGATTGCATCTTTCCTGAGGACTAATAATCTTAGGCCTCTTTACATCTGCTTATTAATCATTTGTATGTCTTCCTTATAGAAATATCTATTGAGATCCTTTGCCTTTTAAAATGTTGTATTTTTATTACTGAGTTAGAAATGTCTTTATATATTCTAGGTAAGTCCCTTATCAGATATGTAATTTGCAAATATTTCACTGTTTTCTATAACTTGTTTCCATTCTCTTGATTGTATCTTTAGAAGCCCGAAAACTTTAATTTCATTAAAGTCACTTTTATTAAAAAGATTTTTGTTCATCTAAAATTCTAGAAGCCTGCCTGTAATCGCAGCAAGTGGGAGGCTGAGGCAGGAGGAGGATTGCCCTGAGTTCAAGGCCAGTTTGAACTACACAGTGAGACCCTGTCTCATAAAAAAACAACAACAACAAAACAAAAACCAGCATGTCAGAGCCAGGTGTAGTGGTGCATGACTGTAATCATAGCCCTCTGGGAGGCTATGGCAAAAGGATCAGAAAATCAAGCCCAGCCTGAGCATCATCTTAGTGTGTTAGCAAGATTCTGTCTCAGAATTTTTTAAAAAGAGCCAGGGGTGTGGCTTAGTGTGAAGGCCCTTAATTCAATCCCAGTACCAAGAGAAAGAAAAAAGAAAGGATTGATGCTGAAAGTGAGGCGTGTAGGGTTATCAGGAAAATTTTTGAGGAATGAAGATATTTATTGTCTTGATTTTGGTGATGATTTCATGGGAGTCATACGCCAAATCTCATTTTTGAATATTTGGTCTATTGTATGTGTTATACCTCAATGAAATTAATTTTTCTTTAAAAAGGAAACCTGTGACTTAATATAAATTAATTAAATACAAAATACATACTCTATCTTTGGGGAAAGAAAACATCAATTATTTCACTTTTTCAAACTTCTCTACTCTTTCTTGGCTTGTTTTGTAACTTTTTTTGTATGTATATTTTTTATAATAACCAATATAGTTATGAGACTGGGATTTCAATCTAGTTTAACTTCATTTCAGTGTCATTTCCCATTTTTTCTTACCAGTTATCTGAAGTGAGGTCATTCTTGTAAGGCTTATTGGTTGAAAATTACCTTCACTTGAAGAAAATTACTTGCCATACATAGTCCCTTGTTTATTTCCTTTCCTTTAACTACTTAGCAGTCCAATTATTTAAATACAGGGTGACCAAAAATTGCATATTTTTTTGCTGATTTTTATAATGTAACAGGAAATATAAAAATGACAATTTTATCAAATTTATTCATTAAAAAAATTGACTAGCTGAAATGACATCTGCCTGATCAATACTCAGGATAGTATGTAAACAAACGCTGCCTGAATGGTGCTCTGGGGAAATTGAGTAAAACAGACTAGGTCAGTGGTGGAGAATCTGTGGCATGTGGGGTGTAGCTGGCTGTTTGTTATCACTGAAAGTTCTAGTCATCTCTGCTTTAGGTGAGCTATAAGAAAGGACTGCTGAGGCAGGAGGATTGCTGTGAGTTCGATTGCTGAGTCTACATAATGAGTCAGGTCAGTCTCAACTATATATTGAGACCCTGTCTCAAAAAAAAAAAAAGAAAGAAAGAAAGGACCGGGCCGGGGATTTAGTGCAGTGGTTCTGCTGCCTGCCTTGCAAGCACAGGGACACAAGTTCAATCCCATGTACCCAAAAAAAACAAAAACAAGAAAGAAAGAACCAGTGGCTAAAAGTTAAGAATATTCAGAATATTTTTTTGGTTTTGTATTGCATAGGACAAAATTAAAAATATTTTTTTCAAACTTACCCTACAGCTTTCTGAAACAAAAGTCTTCACTGCCTCATCTGTTCCAGCAGAGAATGATGTCACACCTAGGCAAAGGTAAACACTTTGTCCATCATTACTTTTGTCTATCATTTGTTTGTTATTCAAAGCATACTTGAAACCTTTGGCCTTAGAACATTTGTCATTTTTGGATCTCTTAGTTTTTTCTCTTTTACTGAAAACTAACCTGGTGAACTAACAGTTTCAGTTATTTCCTAATTGGTTGTATCTCCTGATGAATTAAAAAAGCAGTGATTGCTGGGCGTGGTGGCGCATGCCTGTAATCCCACCACTCAGGAGGCTGAGGCAGGAGGATCTCTGTGAGTTTGAGACCAGCCTGGGCTACATAGTGAGTTCCAGGTCAGTGAAACCCTGTCTCAAAAAACAGACAAACAAAAAGCAGTGATTGTCAGCAGTTGCAGAGATTATGTTAACCCTATTTCTTGGTTCTGTTTTTGTAAATCTTCTCCTTTTTTGACAGAATATCCTTTGTTTTCTTCATACATAGTATATGTTTAGATCTCCAACAGCATACAAACTTCTCATTTTGGGTGGATGCTACTAGTTGAATTTATTAGTTACAGAAAAGAAGGGGTAATAATAACAGTCTTACCATGTACTGAACTGAATTCTGCACCAAGTGGCAGAATCACTGAGCTAAACCCCTTGCCCCTGACCTCAGTTCTTGAGAACTTTATTTACATAGTTTTCACAATGATTCTAAACACTTTTGGAAGTGACTTCACAATCCTATGACCTGGAATGATGAAAGCCTGTTAGAAAAGCTTGATTTTGTATGCTCTATGAGAGTTATAAGAATTTATAATAGGAAAATAAAGAGGATTAGCAGTTATATTTTGCAATAGTATATTGTTGTATTATGGCTCACAATTTCTTGTTCAGTGCAAATAACATGTTTTTGTTTTTTTTGTCTGCCCTGTTTATCTTCCTTTGAAGGTACCACTGATGACACCCCCCCCCAACCTGGTCTTCTGCCTTGGGTAGGGCAGTAAACTCATAGTTCTTTTTATGTTTGTTTTTTAGACAGGGTCTTACTGTGTAGTCCAGGGTGACCTAGAACTCACTATGTAGCCAAGGCTGTCCTTGAACTTGTAGTTATCCTCCTGCCTCAGCCTCCCAAGTGCTGGGATCACAGGCATGCGCCATCAGGCCCATCATTTTTCTTTTTGAGACAGGGTCACGTTGTGTGGTTCAGGCTTGCGTTGAACTCACTGTGTATCACAGACTGGCCTGAAGTGATATATTGCCTTGGTAGCTTCCCGAGCACTGGGATTACAGGTGTGGGCCACCATATCTGGCTGTTTGTTTTATGTGTGTGTGTGTGCTTTGTACTAGGAATTGAACTCAGGATCTTGAGCTTTTGAGGCAGGCAGTGGCACCACTGAGCTAAATACTGTTTACTATATTTTTGACTCAATAATTTTGTAGGCTCATTTTCATTTTTTGAAATAATTTCAGAAAATTCAGTTTACTTAATCACTCCACGTTTTCCTATCAGTCATCATGTCATTTCTGTGAATATTTTTCAGTACACTTATTTTTGTTTTCTTGAAAGCCATGCTTTCAACTTGACTTTAGAACCTTTAAAACTCCATGTTCAAGTCAGGTACGGTGGTGCACACTTGTAATCCCAGTATCTGGGAAGCTGAGGCTCTAGGATTGCTGAGAGGCTAGCCTGAACTATGCAGCAAGACCCTGTCTCAAAAAACAACAAAATAATTTTTTAAATTTAAAAAAACCTCCATGTTCAAAGGTTCTACTCAGATAATTTCTAGTTTAAATTTACATAGGTTCCCTCTTAGAATTTGTTAGCAAGATTGGCTTATGACTTATTCTTCCATTTGCTTTTTGTTTGCTTAGCATTGACCTAGTATCCTTGCTCCAGAAGCCTGTTCCTCCAGGTCAAGTGTCAGAAGTCAGTGCTTTTGAAGCCTCCCAACAGCAGGGCTTTGGCCAAGCCCTTGTCTTCACGAATTCTCAACACAACAGTCCGATGACACCAGGGCCTGGCAGCTCCACTCCTGCCACCTCCTACTCTCCTCAACGCCTGGTAATTCACTTTCACTTTAGCATGGGATTTTAAGGGATATGCTCATAAATAGTGGTAGTGTAAAAGATGACATATGCCTTATGATTATTTTCTCATAAATAATATAAATATTAACATTTCTACCGTAGGTTTGAGTCCAGAAAACAATGATGTTATGATTTCCAAGCACATATCTGATGATTCTGTGTGGAATTTAACTACTGAGTTTCCTGGACAAAGATAAAAATATTTCTTTATTATACTTGAATCATTTTCAATTAATAATCAGATAAAAAGCATACTTATTAGTAATTTTTTTGGAATTTGTGCTGAAGTTTATGTTTAAAATGTTAAAACCAGAACAAACAAAAATAAATAAAATGTTGATTTTTGGGTGTATGGTTGAACCCCAAGCCTCACTATGTTGAGCTAAGACTTTGCCCCTTTTTATTTTTATTTTTTGGTACTGGGAATTGAACTCAGGACCTTGTGCTTGCCATTGCCAGGCAGGCACTGTGCTGTTGAGCTACATCCCCAGCAACCCTTTTTATTGTCTCAGTGAGGTGATGTTGAGAGGCCCTGTATTGTTACGTAGGGTTAGGCAGACAGCACTGACCTAGTGAGTTTATTTTATTTTATTATTTTTTGGGTTCCGGGGATTGAACTCAGAGCCTTTCGCTTGTGAGGCAGGCAATGGAACCGCTGAGCTAGATCCCCGGCCCCATTGCATTTTAAAGCCCACAAAATAATGTATTTGCTAAAACTTGCTGATGTGTGATAGAGATTGTGTAGCCTAAGAGGGAGAGCAGCATCTGAGTAGACTTAATAGTTAGAGACACAGACTAAGAAAGTATTATTTTTCTTTGTTTTTCATGTTTTTTGTTTCCTTCTGTTTCTTTTGTTTGAAAAAAGTGATGTCTGGGCATGGTGGGACACACCTCAATCATAGTACTTGGACAAAAGGAGGATCACTGTGAGTTGAAGGCTAGATGGGACTACATAGTGAGTTCAAGGCTAGCCTGAACTACATAGACCCTGTCTCAGAAAGCCAAAATAAATAAGCAACTAGATTTTTAAAATGTCACTGTGTTGGGGGGGTGCTAGGGATTGAATCCAGAATCTTGTCACTAAGCTACATCCCCAGGTATACCCCCCTCCCCCTGATATTTTATTTTGAGATAGGGTTTCACTAAGTCACTTTATTGGCCCAGGTTGGGCTCAAGCTTTCAATCCTTTTGCCTCAGCTTCCAGAGTGCTGGAATTATAGCATGTACCACTATATTCAGTTAAAAAAGTGTTATCTGAGGGTCGGGGATTTAGCTCAGCGGTTTGGTGGCCTGCCTTGCAAGCTCAAGGACCCGAGTTCAATCCCCGGTACTGGGGGGTGGGGGAGTGTTATTTGTGAGTTTATGGTATCCTTTGAAAAACATTGTTCACATCCATAGCAAATATTTCTCTTACCCTTTATCAGAATCAAGAAAGATTGCTTAATTCAGTCAGTTCTTACTGCATAGTTATACTTTTATGTAGTATTTTTGCCCTTATATTTTTTTTTGTTTCTGTTTTTGGTACCAGGGATTGAACTTGGGACCTTGTGCTTGTGAAGCAGGCACTGGAAACGCTGAGCTAAATCCCCAGCCCTTTATGTAGTTTTTGGTTTTTTTGAAACAGGTTCTCACTATGTAGTTGAGACTGATTTGGAACTCAGTATGTAGTTCAGGCTGGTCTCACAGCGATCCTCCTGCCTCAGCCTCCCAAGTGCTGGGATTGCAGGCGTGAGCCACCATGCCCGGCTTATGTAGTATTTTTTAAGGTGAAGTTAGTTCAAATGTTCTAGGTTATAATTTTTTAAACTTTTTTTTTTTCTTTTTGGGACCTTGTGCTTTCGAGATAGGAGGTGGAAGCACTGACTAAATCCCTAATCCCCAGAATATTTCTAAAAATATTTGGGTGTATTTTTAAAGTCTAGAGTAGAAATTCATTATTGTTGAGAATTTGTTCTTTTATTTCTCTTGAAAGTCATCTGTCCTCGGCTCAGGATTTGGAGAGCTTACACCATCAAAATTGGCTAATATCACCAGCTCCCAGGTTTTGGACCTGAAAGCTCCAAGTTTGGGCCAGTTTACCACCACCCAAAGTTCACAGCAGAATAGTACTAGTTCCTCAACAACTACTACTTCTTGGGACGTCAAGCCCTCAGCATCCCAACCCTCAGTCCTCACTCACTTTGGTAAGTATACTGTTTTTGCGCTGGTTTTTCCCTGAGAACATGCTAAATCATTGGCAGAGTATGTTGACTTTTTTTTCCCTACTGGTCCCAGGAATTAAACAACTTTTTTTATTTCAACTATTTGCATTTTTAAAAAATTAGTACATATTTGCATTACATAATGATTACATTCCTTGATGGGAATTGGTACATATACATAATGCAGGTCAGGTCTCTTTTTTTCCCCTTCCCTCCACCCCCAACTTTTGAATACTAAAATGGAACTTGTCCTGAGATGTTTCAGTTGTTAGATCAGTCTTCTTGGTGTTGTATAATACCTGCATTTATTTGTCGTTATTAGCAGCAGTAGTAGTACATACCTGACAGATGTGCAGGAGAATGCAAATAGGATACAACACTGCGTAAATTCCTAGACAGAATTTTCTGAGCTCTGTTAGAATGAAGTTGTGACAGAAGGTGGGATGTTGACATTTTATTTATTTATTTGTTTGTTTGTTTATTTTCATTGAGTTTAGTGGTACTTTTTAGGTATACAGTACAGTTACATTCATCATTGGGATCTTGTCCCTTTACACGATGTATCTTGGGTTTTTTTTTTTCCTGTACCAGGGATATTGGTTCTTATTTTTTCCCCATACCCCTGCTCTCCCTTCAACCCTTCTCCCCTCCCTATTTATAAAAACTTTGTTTCCATTTTTTCCTTTTCTCATATTTTTTTCTTTCCTTTCCTTTCCCCTACCCCTTCTACTTCCTGTACTCCTTTAGGCCTTTACTTACTACTTCACATTATCAATTATACATTTTGATCCTTATTTATACTTTTAGTTTCTCATTCTTTATGGCTGAGTATTACTCCATTTCATTAAAACAACAACAACAACAACAACACATTTTCTTTATCCAGTCTCCAACTGATGGGCAATTGGGCTGTTTCCAAGTTTTAGCTATTACAGAGTGTGCTGCTGTAAACATGGGTGAGCATATATTACTGTGGTATGATTCTTTTAATTCTTTTGGGAAGTTACCCAGCATGTTGATGACATTTGAGGGGGCTGGGGCTAGAGCTCAGTAGAAGAGTATTTGCCTAACACGTGCAAAGCCCTGGGCTTTATTCCCAGAACTGCAAAAACACTCTGTGATGCTTTCTCATTCTAACATTTTGCCAGGGTCTACCATGATTAGGTTAAGTCTTACTTTCTGTGTTGCATATTGTAAAGGCAACATGTATAATAAGCTGGATTCTTTTAAAACAAAATTCCTACAGAAATGGTGACATTAACCCATTCTTCACTACCTATGCTAACTTGCCACACTATATTATGGTGCAGTGCAGATTACTTTTTCTTTTTTTTGGTACTATGGATTGAACTGAGAATCTTGAGCTTGCCAGGCACCACTGAGCTACATTCCCAGCCCTGTTTTTCTTTCTTTCTTTCTTTTTTTTTTTTTTTTTAATGATCTCACTGTGTATTTCAGCTCTATTTTGGGGTTGTGTACTGGTGATTGAACTCAGGACCACAAGCTTGCCAGGCAGGTGCTGTGCTGCTGAGCTATGTCCCCAACTCCTCACTGTGTATTTCAGGCTGGCCTTAAAGTCACTGTGTAACCCAGGCTGGCTTTCAACTTGCAGTGGTCCTCCTGCCTCAACCTTGAGAGTGCTGGGATCATAGGCGTGCACCACCACGCCCAGCTAGCACAGGTCCTTTTAATCATAAGAGTTGTTTGTGCATGCTGATTTGTGGTTAGGAGTAATGAGAGACAGGGAAGCACATTTCTGTGCTCAATAAAATGGCATAGCATGTTGGAAATTTCTGGGATGACTACTGGGCTTGAAGTAATGTCTTCCAAGGAAGAGCCTCAAATTCCATTGGGGGCACTTTCTGCCCGTCATGTAACAAAAGTACAAATTTTCTGAAGGGTGATGGCTGCTTCGCCTAAACCACTTTCTTGGTATAGACATTCTGGACACAGTGAACTTACTAGTTAGAGTCTTGGCCATTCTTTGCTTGTACATACCACCATTTCATGCTCTCAGATGCCAGGCATGGGGAAACCTTCAAATGCATCTTTCTAATAACAGTTGTAGGTCTCCTATGTTACTTTTCTTGCATGCAAGTGATAACAAGTGATAGTTTGTAGATACAAGGATTGTTATTCCCATATAATGAAGCCTGTCTTTTTGGTATATGCCTCTAGTATCAAGTTCAAAAATGGATTCATGACTAATCATGGTGCCACATGTTTACATTCTAGGTTTAAAAAAAAACCAGACACCCAATAACTAATGAAAAGGCTGAGGCAGGAGGACTGCAAGTTTGAGGCTGGCCTGGACAGTTTGGCAAGCCCTCTGTCAAAATTAAAAAAATAAAATAAAGGTCTGGAGATATAGCTCAATGACAGAGTGCTTGCCTAGCATGCATGAGGCTGTGCTTATAATCCCCAGACCCTAAAAAAAAAAAAAAAAAAAAAAAAAATTAACCAAAAAAATTTCTCA